GAATATTGACCTCTTTTAGCCGCTCTGTTATTCTTTTCCGTCGCCTGTAAAGGGACGCCCTTTTCTTTCTATTTTACATTACTCTCCTTTTTTTTTGGGAAAAAGCCTTTGCAACATCGAGTGCCACCGAGTTAAACTGTTCTGGGATAAGTTGGGGGCGTGTTGCTTAGTATATCTTCCCACTTAATCGGGTTTGGACTTGGTTTACTTGTCCCCCTTTATGTTTTTGTTATTTAAGTTTAATTTGGTGAATCCCCTCGTGACTAGTCCATTTGTCGGGGCGGGGCTCCAGATCATGTCGAACCTCATTAGTTGTGTCTGAGTATTTGTTTTTGATTGGTGAATTTCTTTTTCAGATATCATTGTTAGGGGGTTAGGGCTAGTGTATTTCCAGTTTGGGTCTTTATTTGCTGGTTTAAATTGAATTTTGTGCAGAGAATTAAAAGCTCGTGTGAGGTGGTTTTCATCAGGTGCCTCCCGGTGTTTTACTGCAAAAAATTATTTGTATATTCCTCCTTTTAGGGACCTTAAGTTGAAATCCCCCAGGAGCAAGATGTTGGGTGCAGGAGCTGGAAGATTTTCCAGACAGTGGTCAATTTTTAACAGCTGTTCCTGGAATTGCTGGGATGTTGCATCCAGAGGCTTGTAGACTACCACAATGACTAGGTTTTGGTTCTCGACCTTTACTGCTAAAACTTCCACTACATCATTTGAGGCATTAAGCAGTTCTGTGCAAACAAGTGACTCTGCAATGTACAGGCCAACTTCCCCCGCCCCCTTTTGCCTGTTCACTCTGTCACATCTGTATAGGTTGTAACCTGGGATCCATATTTCGTTGTCCAGGAGGGACGGAGAGAGGGGGAGGGAGACAGTGGCAAAGGGGGACAGAGATGCTGAAGAGAGAAAAGGAGAGAATAATTGGAGAGATAGGGGAGAGATAGGGGCGAAGGGGGAGAGAGTCAAGGGGGAGAGGGAGAGAGAGGGGGAGAGTATGTGTGGGTCTGTGTGTAAGGGAATGTCTGTGTGGGTATATATGTGTGTGGACATGTGTGTGTGTGGGTCTGTGTGTAAGGGAATGTCTGTGTGGGTATATATGTGTGTGGACATGTGTGTGTGTGTGGGTCTGTTTGGGTGAGAATATGTGTGTGTTTATGTGTGGAATTATATGAATATGGATTTATTGAGTATGTGAAAAGTAGTGGGTGGGAGTGTGTGATAAGATGTGTGACTGTGTATGTGCCGTTTGTGTGTTACACGTGGTCAGCAGTGCTCTGACCTGACCTGCTCAGAAGGTAGAGAAACTCTCGAAACTCTTCAAAGGTATATCAAAGGCAAAGGTGTCTGCCAGCCCTGATTCTGTTTTAAATTATCAATTACTATTTGTTATTGAGTACTACTAGTCTATTTCTTCTTCATACAAGGAGAGTGAGCTCTTTCACAAACAGCTCGGCAGTTACCTGGAAACTCACACCCGTCACCCTAAAACCACTCCGAGTTGAAATACTTGTGATGTCCTGGCGTATCTCTACCTCCGCTTCGTCTCTATATTCAATATATTCCTATTTACTGTGCTTCTTTCACTGGTCACACACTGATTTCACTTTGGATGACACATGTGTCAACGTCGCCTGCACCACACTAGCCCTGCCGTCTCTGACTTGCAACACCAAATATCACTTTCAAGTTTACTTATAAAATTGTGGCTCTCCCCACACTTATGTGGCTCAGGGCAACTTGGAACTCTCTCCAAGTTGTTCACTACGCTGATATACTTAATGACCCTCGCGGTAACCTTGGGTAGCACACAACAACGCTGTGTGTGTGTGTGTGTGTGTGGATGAGAGACTGGTCTGTATTTAGTGCAGAATCTGGTTAGAGGTTTGTGTACTCACCTATTTGTACTCACCTATTTGTGGTTGCAGGGGTCGAGTCATAGCTCCTGGCCCCGCCTCTTCGCTGTGTGTGTGTGTGTGTGTGTGTGTGTGTGTGTGTGTGTGTGTGTGTGTGTGTGTGTGTGTGTGTGTGTGCATGTGTGTGTACTAATCTATATGTACTCACCTAAATGTGGTTGCAAGGGTCGAGCTACAGCTCCTAGCCCCACCTCTTCGTTAATCGTTGCTAAGTCTACTCTTGGCTCACGAGCCCCATTGTATCTCTTCTTAAAGCTGTGTATGGATCCAGCTTACACTGCTTCACTCTCCTGACAACTCTAAGGCTGAAGAAATACTTCCTATTATCTCTATGATTCATCCCAGTTTTCAGCTTATAGTTGTGTCGTCTTTTCTGTCACATTTCTGAAACATTCTCGTCCTTTTCACCTTGTCATTACCTATCTGTATTTAATACATCAATATCATGTTTACTCACATATTTATACTCACCTACTTGCGGTTCCAGGGGTTGAGTCACAGCTCCTGGACCAGTCTCTTCGCTGGTCGCTACTAGGTCCAGTTTCTCCTGATCCATGAGTTTAATAGTATGTCTTCTTAAAGTTATATATGGATCCCACCTCCACTACTTCACTCTCTAGTTTGTTCAACTTCCTGACAGACTTACTAATATCCCTCTGACTTATCTGAGATTTCACCTTAAAATTATGTTCCCTTGTTCTTGTGACTACTCTGAAACATTGTGTCCGTGTGTGTGTTTGTACTCACATGGTTGTACTCACCTAGTTGTGGTTGCAGGGGTCGAGTCACAGCTCCTGGCCCCCGCCTCTTCAATGGCCGCTACTAGGTCACTCTTCCTGCTCCATGAGTTTACAATAATAATAATAATAATAATAATAATAATAATAATAATAATATCTTTATTTACTACAAGTACATGTACAAGGTATACAGACCATAGCTGACATCACTGACATACTACTCCATACAAAGTCGCTTGTTATGCTGAGCATTTCGGGTAAATTATTTCAGTTTTGTCCCAGGATGCGACCCACACCAGTCCACTAACACCCAGGTACCCATTTAATTAATGGGTGACCATAGACAACCGGTGTAAGGAAACACGTTCGATGTTTCTACCCCTTCGCCGGGAATCGAACCCGGACACTCACCGTGAGAAGCGAGAGCTTCTGCCACCAGGCCACGGGGCACCGTAATCATACCTCTTCTTAAGGCTATGTATGGATCCTGCCTCCACTGCATCACTTCCCAGATTATTCCACTTCCTGACAGTTCTGTCACTGAAGAAATACTTCCTAACATCCCTGTGATTCATCTGAGTCTTCAACTTCTAATTGTGACCCCTTGTTGCTGTGTCCCATCTCTGAAACATTCTATGTCCACCTTGTCGGTTCCTCTCAATATTTTATATGCCGTTATCATATCTCCCCTATCTCTCATGTCTTCCAGTGTAGACAGGTCGATTTCCCTCTACCTCTCCTACCAAGCCATAGCTCCGGGACTAGTCTTGTTGCAAACCTTTGCACTTTCTCTAGTTTTCTTATGTGCTTGACTACGTGTGGGTTCCAAACTAGTTCTGCATACTCCAGTATGGGCCTAACATACACAGTGTACAGGGTCCTGAACGACTCCTTATTAAGCTGTCGGAATGCTGTTCTCAGGTTTGCTAGGCGCCCATATGCTGCAGCAGTTATTTGGTTGATGTGCGCTTCAGGAGATGTGCCTGGTGTTATACTCACCCCAAGATCTTTCTCCATGAGTGAAGCTTGTAGTCTCTGGCCTCCTAGACTGGGTCTTTTTTTTATCTTACCCCAATCTTCATGACTTTGCACTTTTTGCGGTTGAACTTCAGGAGACAGTTTCTGGACCAGGCCTGCAGCCTGTCCAGGTTCCTTAGTAGTTCTGCGTGGTTCTCGTCCGATTGGATTCTTCTCATCAACTTCACGTCATCTGCAAACAGGGACACTTCTGAGTTTATACCTTCCGTCATGTCATTCACAAATACCAGAAACAGCACCGGTCCTAGGACTGACCCCTGTGGAACCCCGCTCGTTACGGGCGCCCACTCTGACAACTCGCCACGTACCATGACTCGCTGCTGTCTTCCTGACAAATATTCCCTGAGCCATTGTAGTGCCTTCCCTGTTATCCCTGCCTGGTCTTCCAGCTTTTGTACTAATCTCTTGTGTGGAACTGTGTCAAATGCCTTCTTACAGTCTAAGAAAAAGCAGTCTACCCACCCCTCTCTCTTTCTCTCCTGTGTTACTGCTGTCACTCTGTCATAGAACTTCAGTAGGTTTGTGACACAGGATTTCACGTCCCTGAAACCGTACTGGTATACCACCACTCTTCTCCATGACTATGCATACTATACATGTCAATGACACTGGTCTGTAGTTTAATGCTTCGTGTCTGTCTCCTTTTTTAAAAACTGGGACTACATTTGCTGTCTTCCATACCTTAGGCAGTTGCCCTGTTTTGATAGATGTGTTGAAGATTGTTGCTAGTGCTCCTATGCTTTTGAGGAGTCTAGCTAGCTTAACAACCTCTTCACTTCTTCCAAGGTTGTATGTATTGTGTCAAACACTTGATGGTGTACCCTGCCTCTCCGTGTTTCTGGAATCCCATCTGTCTCCTCTGTGAACACGTCTTTGAATCTTATGTTGAGTTCCTCACATACTTCGCGGACATTTCTTGTGATCTCTCCTTCTTCTTTCCTCAGCCTGATTACCTGGTCATTGTCTGTTGTTTTCTTTCTGATGTGACTGTACAACAACTTGTTATTTTCGTATTATCGTTGAGCCTCCCTTCTTACCTGTGCAGTCATTTTTGGTTCTACGACTGCTCTCCTTATTCTCCTGGGTCCTTTGCCTACTATACTTTTTCTATTCCCTAGCACACTTGGTTTTGGCCTCCCTGCACCATTGGGTGCAGTGTGTGTGCGTGTGTGTGTGTGTGTGTGTGTGTGTGTGTGTGTGTGTGTGTGTGTGTGTGTGTGTGTGTGTGTGTGTGTGTGTGTGAAATAAACTCACAACTTACACTATGTACTGACATATTTAAATTAAAAATATAAATTTCCTGTCAGGAACTGCGAGACTTGGCCCAGGACCACAACTGTCTCAAGATTCTAGAGTTTGGTAAGACGATACTTTTATATTTTTTCTCTTTACTTGCCTTTGGTCCTCCCTCCTTCATGTGGCTGCTTAAATGCTACTGAAATTCCTGGTAAATATCCTGGTGTCAACCCTGCCAGAGAAGGAACCTAAATATCCTGATGCCAACCCTGCCAGAGAAGGAACCTAAATATCTTGGTGCCAACCCTGCCAGAGAAGGAACCTAAATATCCTGGTGCCAACCCTGCCAGAGAAGGAACCTAAATATCCTGGTGCCAACCCTGCCAGAGAAGGAACCTAAATATCCTGGTGCCAACCCTGCCAGAGAAGGAACCTAAATATCCTAGTGCCAACCCTGCCAGAGAAGGAACCTAAATATCCTGGTGCCAACCCTGCCAGAGAAGGAACCTAAATATCATGGTTTAAAACCCTGCCAAGAAAAGGGAAACCCAAATATCTTGGTGCCAACCCTGCCAAGAAGGAACCTAAATAATCCTGGTGCCAACCCTGCCAGAGAGGGGAACCAAATATCCTGGTGCCAAACCCCGCCCGAGAAAAAAACCTAAATATCCTGGGGCCAACCCTGCCAGAGAAGGAACCTAAATATCCTAGTGCCAACCCTGCCAGAAAAGGAACCTAAATATCCTGGTGCCCAAACCCCGCCAGAGAAGGAACCTAAATATCCTGGTGCCAACCCTGCCAGAGAAGGAACCTAAATATCCTGGTGCCAACCCGCCAGAGAAGAAACCTAAATATCCTGGTGCCAACCCTGCCATAGAAGGGAAACCCAAATATCCCGGTGCCAACCCTGCCCGAGAAGGAACCTAAATATCCTGGGGCCAACCCTGCCAAGAAGGAACCTAAATATCCTGGTGCCAACCCTGCCAGAGAGGAACCTAAATATATTGGTGCCAATCCTGCCCGAGAAGGAACCTAAATATCCTGGTGCCAACCCTGCCAGGAAGGAACCTAAATACCTGGTGCCAACCCTGCCAGAGAAGGAACCTAAATATCCTGGTCCAACCCTGCCCGAGAAGGGAAACCCAAATATCCTGGTGGCCAACCTGCCAGAGAAGGAACCAAATATCCTGGTGCCAACCCTGCCAGAGAAGGAACCTGAATATCCTGGTGCCAACCCTGCCAGAGAAGGAACCTGAATATCCTGGGCCAACCCTGCCAGAGAAGGAACCTAAATATCCTGGTGCCAGCCCTGCCAGAGAAGGAAACCTAAATATCCTGGTGCCAACCCCCGCCAGAGAAGGAACCTAAATATTCTGGTGCCAACCCTGCCAGAGAAGGAACCTAAATAAACTTGGTGCCAACCCTGCCAGAGAAGGAACCTAAAAAATCCTGGTGCCAGCCCTGCCAGAGAAGGAACCTAAATATCCTGGGTGCCAACCCTGCCAGAGAAGGGAAACTAAATATCCTGGTGCCAACCCTGCCAGAGGAGGAACCTAAATATCCTGGTGCCAACCCTGCCAGAGAAGGAAACTAAATACCCTGGTGCCAACCCTGCCAGAGGAGGAACCTAAATATCTTGGTGCCAACCCTGCCAGAGAAGGAAACTAAATATCCTGGTGCCAACCCTGCCAGAGGAGGAACCTAAATATCTTGGTGCCAACCCTGCCAGAGAAGGAAACTAAATATCCTGGTGCCAACCCTCCAGAGAGGAACCTAATATCTTGTGCCAACCCTGCAGAGAGGAAACTAATATCTGGTGCACCCTGCCAGAGGAGGAACCTAAATATCCTTTTGGGGCCAACCCGACAGGAAGGAACCTAAATATCCTGGTGCCAACCCTGCCAGAGGAAGGACCAAATACCTGGGCCACCCGGCCAGAGAGGACCAAATATCCTGGTGACAACCCTGCCAGAGAAGGAATCTAATATCGGCTGCAAACCTGCAGAGAGAAAACCCAAATATCCTGGGGCCAACCCTGCCAAGAGGAACTAAAATCTTGGTGCCAACCCTGCAGAGAAGAACTAAATATCCTGGTGCCAACCCTGCCAGAGAAAGGGAAAAAAAATATCCTGGGCCAACCCTGCCATAGAAGAAACCTAATATCCTGGTGCCAAACCTGCCAGAGAGGAACCTAAATATCCTGGTGCCAAACCCTGCCAAGAAGGAACCTAAATATCCTGGTGCCCAAACCCCGCCTTAGAAGGGAAACCCAAATATCCTCGTGCCCAAACCCCGCCAGAGAAGGAACCTAAATATCCTGGTGCCAACCCCGCCAAAGAAGGAACCTAAATATCCTGGTGCCAACCCTGCCAAGAAGGAACCAAAATATTCTGGTGCCAACCCTGCCAAGAAGGAACCTAAATATCCTGGTGCCAACCCTGCCATAGAAGGAACCTAAATATCCTGGTGCCAACCCTGCCAGAGAAGGAACCTAAATATCCTGGTGCCAACCCTGCCAGAGAAGGAACCTAAATATCCTGGGCCAACCCTGCCAGAAGGAACCTAAATATCCGTGCCACCCCTGCCAGAGAAGGAACCTAAATATCCTGGTGCCAACCCTGCCAAGAAGGAACCTAAATATCCTAGTGCCAACCCTGCCCGAGAAGGAACCAAAAAATCCCGGTGCAAACCCTGCCAAGAGGAACCTAAGTATCCTGTGCCAACCCTGCCCGAGAAGGAACCTAAATATCTTTGGGGCCAACCCTGCCAGAGAAAGGAACCTAAATATCCTGGTGCCAACCCTGCCAGAGAAGGAACCTAAATATCCTGGGGCCAACCATGCCAGAGAAGGAACCTAAATATCCTAGTCCCAACCCCGGGAGAGAAGGGAAACCCAAATATTCAGGGGCCAACCCTGCCAGAGAAGGAACCTAAAAATCCTGTGCCAACCCGGCAGAGAAGGAACCCAAATATCCTGGTGCCAACCCTGCCAGAGAAGGAACCAAATAATCAGGTGCCAACCCTGCCAGAGAAGGAAACTAAATAACCTGGTGCCAACCCTGCCCGAGAAGGAACCTAAATATCCTGGTGCCAACCCTGCCCGAGAAGGAACCTAATATCCTGGTGCCAACCCTTTCCATAGAAGGAACCTAATATTCCAGTGCCACCCCTGCCAGAGAAGGAACCTAAAAATTCCTGGTGCCAACCCTGCCAGAAGAAGGAACCTAAATGTCCTGGTGCCAACCCTGCCCGAGAAGGAACCTAAATATCCCGGTGCCAACCCCGCCAGAGAAGGAACCTAAATATCTGTGCCAACCCTGCCAGAGAAGGAACCAAATATCCTGGTGCCAACCCTGCCCAGGAAGGGAAACCTAAATATCCTGGTGCCAACCCTGCCAGAGAAGGAACCTAAATATCTTGGTGCCAACCCTGCCAGAGAAAGGGAAACCCAAATATCCGGTGCCACCCCCGCCAGAGAAGGAACCTAAATATCCTGGTTCCAACCCTGCCAGAGAAGGAACCTAAATATCTGGTGCCAACCCTGCCAGAGAAGGAACCTGAATATCCTGGTGCCAACCTGCCCGAGAAGGAAACAAATTTTCCTGTGCCAACCCTGCCAGAGAAGGAACCTAAATACCTGGTGGCCCAACCCTGCCAGAGAAGGAACCTAAATATCCTGGTGCCAACCCTGACAGAGAAGGAACCTAAATATCCTGGTGCCAACCCTGCCAGAGAAGGAACCTAAATATCCTGGTGCCAACCCTGCAGAGAAGGAACCTAAATATCCTGGTTCCAACCCTGGGCCCGAGAAGGAACCCAAATACCTGGTGCCAACCCTGCCAGAGAAGGAACCTAAATATCCTGGTGCCAACCCTGCCAGAGAAGGAACCTAAGTATCCTGGTGCCAACCCTGCCAGAGAAGGAACCTAAATATCCTGGTGCCAACTCTGCCAGAGAAGGAACCTAAATATCCTGGTGCCAACCCTGGCAGAGAAGGAACCTAAATATCTTGGTGCCAACCCTGCCAGAGAAGGAACCTAAATATCCTGGTGCCAACCCTGACAGAGAAGGAACCTAAATATCCTGGTGCCAACCCTGCCAGAGAAGACCTAAAATCCTGGTGCCAACCCTGCCAGAGAAGAACCAAATATCCTGGTGCCAACCCGCCAGAGAAGGAACCGAAATATCCTGGTTCCAACCCGCCAGAGAAGAAACCTAAATATTCAGGTGCCAACCTGCCAGAGAAGAACCTAAATATCCTGGTGCCAACCCTGCCAGAGAAGGAACCTAAATATCCTGGTGCCAACCCTGCCAGAGAAGGAACCTAAATATCCTGGTTCCAACCCTGCCAGAGAAGAAACCTAAATATTCAGGTGCCAACCCTGCCAGAGAAGGAACCTAAATATCCTGGTGCCAACCCTGCCAGAGAAGGAAACTAAATATCCTGGTGCCAACCCTGCCAGAGATAGAAACCCAAATATCCTGGTGCCAACCCTGCCAGAAAAGTAACCTAAATATTCAGGTGCCAACCCTGCCAGAGGGAAAGGGAACCTAAATATCCTGGTGCCAACCCAGCCAAGAAGGAACCTAAATATCCTGGTGCCAACCCTGCCAAGAAGGAACCTAATATCCTGGTGCCAACCCGCCAGAGAAGAAACCTATATATCCCTGGTGCCAACCCGCCAGAGAAGAACCTAAATATCCTGGTGCCAACCCCCCAGAGAAGGAACCTAAATATCCTGGTGCAACCTGCCAGAGAAGGAACCTAAATACCGGTGCCAACCCTGCCAAAAAGAAGGAAAACCTAAATATCCTGGTGCCAACCCCCCAAGAAGGAACCTAAATATCCTGGTGCCAACCCTGCCAGAGAAGGAACCTAAATATCCTGGTGCCAACCCTGCCAGAGAAGGAACCTAAATATCCCCGGTGCCAACCCTGCCAGAGAAGGAACCTAAATATCCTGGGGCCAACCCTCCAAAAAAGGAACCTAAAATTTCCTGGTGCCAACCCTGCCAGAAAGAAACCTATATACCCTGGTGCCAACCCTGCCAGAGAAGGAACCTAAATATCCTGGTGCCAACCCTGCCAGAGAAGGAACCTAAATATCCTGGTGCCAACCCTGC